TGCTAGAATAGTCTTTGAGCGTCGAATTACAGCAGAAACCATAACATCTCTCAGGTACCTTTATGGGTACATCTGAAATTGCGAGTCCAAAGGGTAGCACCGGAAAGGCCGCAGAAAGTACACCTACAACCCCTATTTTTTTAAGATTGATGTTGACGGTGGAATTCCCCGAAGGCAACCCAGAAGGTGAAATCAGTTGGACGGGGTGATCAGATAGGTAAAGAACTATTGGTCGAGCTAGCAGTGCCTCTTTCACCTCCTTCTAGTTGGTAATGAGAAAAGGGATCTTGCCTTCGCAGTGAAAGGCAGTCAACATAGTTTGTTCATGCAAAATGGCAGCCAATAGGGATGACCTCCGGGGTGTGGTACAATTCACAGTACAGTAATATTTCGAAAGCCTGGGAGTCGTCGCACCGCCCAGTGTATATTTCCGAAAATTGACAATGCAATCTACTCGTGAATTATTTTAAATTAACGAGCCATCTACAATACCTTAGAAAGTAGCGAACGAGGCTTCGAAAATGTGAGGCATATAAAATTCAAAACAATTTTCTGAAATTGGAAACCACCAAATCTTCCAGATGTTAAAATTTGCGTATTCTACGTGACAAAATTAATGAAACCTAGGCGGTGGGTGAAAGGAAAGCTAAGAAAGGCAAGAGAACTCGTGGAAAAAATTTCCTAGGTACAGGCAACTTTTTTGGCTTACGTTCTCTCCGACTTTGCACAATTCGAGTTATAAAGATTGAGCCAACAAAGATAAGACGGTTGAATAGAAAGGTGGTTGACGCACTGAAAGTTTGCAGTAAACTGAATAAAAATACAGACCACAAACCTCGAGGTAGCGAATTTTAGACTCCATTCGCTGCTTTTCGACTGTCATTGAGTTCAGTGAGTCAAGCAGGGTTAGTTGAGCGCTTTTGGCATCTGCTGGCTGCACCAGATTCATCAGATTGGATTGCAGATCCTGACTCACTCGCTCAAGAAGTTCTCGCACTCGGTTGCGTTCGGTGGCTCGAGTCCGCAGAACCTCGAAGAGTGGACAATTGTGAGCCAGGTGGTGAGCCTGTTGGGCATTTGAGGAACGGCGTCGCTTGGCGGTGTGTATAACCGACTCAGGGTCAGAGGACTTATCCCGGTCCGGATCGGATTCATCAACAGGACAGCAAATGAGTGGCATATCGAAGAAACTCTCACTGGCACTCAAGGAGGGGGAGCTTAGTTTGCGGCCAGTAGTGAGGATTTTGGAAACGGAAACCTGAAGGTCCTTGTCAAGCGCCTGAGCCTGTTCAGCGGCCGCAAGCAGCTCGTCGTTCGCAGCCTAAAATTATTAAAAAGCGGAAAACAAGTTTCAGTGAGAGTAACGCGGATATGCCACAAACA